GAAAAAGAAATGATTTGGAAAACGGTGTCTCCTTGACAAGCTTCATTCTGATAGAATCTTTTTACCCTTGAGGGATTTACAAAATCCATACTCATTGCCCACACCTGGGCAGATACATAACTCCAATGGGTGAGGTGAACAAGAAATCTGCAGTTATGATAGATGCAGACAGATCTTGTGGAATTTTCATCCCTAGAAATAGACAGAGGAAGAGTGGCCAAGGAGGACTGGGTGGGCTCCACACTGTGAGGCTGCATCACCGTCTTTGTCCTCAAAATATCTGAGAAGAACAGAAGGTACTGTTAAATGGGGCACTTCCTGGGGCAAACTCCCTTGGTGGCGAAGAGACCTTCTGAAGAACTCTTTTCTTCTGAGCCTTCTCAGCATGTATGGACAGTGTTTGAATTACATTCTGCAGAATTAAGGCTCTAATGTGTTCTGCTTTTGGAAGCATCTTGTGCAAAAAGGAGGCTCTTTTGGTCTCTAAGCAAATCTGTCACAGATGGGTAGCTCCTCAACAACTAGCCCAGTGCCTGGCATTGGTCATATTTTCAGGGTATAAGGAGGACAAAAGATAAATCTGGATCCTGGTGTCCTAAATTCTTGGCCTTCATGAGCCTTTATGAGCCTGAATCGGGATCTGTATGAGAGGAAGGAAGTATTCCTGCAGGGAGAGGAATCCTTTAGCCCCAGCTGAAGTTTTGGCCATAAACCTCAGCGTAGAAGTGTCTTGTGAACTGGCTCAGGCTACATCTAGTTTTTGTGTACGGGCTGGGCTGTAAGGCTAGGAAGAGGCAAAGTGGCCTCTCTGGCCTTTTTCCCTGTAGTTCTACAACCATATCTTAGTCCTTCAAGGCTTGCCAGTTGCACAGTGAGAATAGGAAAGGAAAGACGGAGAAGTCATTGAGGTTAAAGGAGAGCATCTCTCTCTAAAGCTGAGAGTAGCTTTGGAGAGCTACTCATTCTAGGCCTCGTTCCTCTGGGTCTTGCCCTTGTTCCCACTGGCTTTCTAAGGGGAGAGGAAGACCTTCCTTCCAGGCTTGATTGCACTCTGGGGCCTCTCTTACTACAACAGCCTCGTGCGAGACAAGAAATCCTGAATGTAAAGAGAGGAAACCATGAGGAGGAGGTGTAACAACCGCATCTCCTTGGAACATCCTAGTGCATTGTGTTGGAGGCCCCAAGAATGCCCCTGGACTGACCCTTGAGAGGGATACAGGAGCGGAAGGGCAGTGAGAAGGCCTTAGTACGTGTTGAATGACTGAGGAGGGAGTCAGTGAATGGAGACCTTTTCTAGATTTACTCTCCAAAACATTATAATCAAAATTTGCTCCAAAGAAGTCTAACATAATATTAGGGAAAATTATAATGTGAAGCTTCTTTCAGTTCAAGGTCTAAAAATCTATCTTTATTCATGGCAGTGGGGTTATTCAGGAAAGTTGTGAAGGCTTTTTTAAGCTTCAGAAAACGTAGGATTCTTACCAGGCAAGAGGATCACCTTTGATTGTTTTGTACCATTTGAAAATGTTGGTGTCACCAACATAATCACATTCTTGCGGGATTAGGAGATTCTTAAAAGATACTTAGTCCCATTGCTAGGAAGTTATCTTATGCATATACGAGCATGTGTGCACTGGGATAAATGTGTAAGGATGTCCGTCTCAGCATTGTTGGTAATAACAATGACATTTTTTTAAAAAGCCACGAAACAACCAAAATGTCAATCAGTGATCCACTTTTACCCTTTCAAACAGTTTGAATGTCTTAGTATGAGCAGGTGTTCCTTGTCATTTAAAAAAATCACCTCTACCCTGACTGCTGACTCATCCCCACCAAGAGGTCATCCTGGCTGTGCTTGAACACTTCCAGTGATGGAGAACTCACTACCGCTTAACTATCAGACAATGTTTTGATCAAGAGCCTCTGGACAATAATTAGTGCCTATTAAGACATGATCTAGGTTTCCGGGGCGGGGGGGGGTCTGGGTCTATCAATTCCATCTTCAGGGCTCTGGAGCTGGATAGCATGCAATTTTGACAGCTAGTTCTTGGTATTTTTTCCATTTAAAAATTATTTTTGAATATACGAATGGAAAATAATTGGGGGAAGTATGTCCTCTGGCAAAAGCCTTCAAGATACTGGAAGAAGACAATAAAGGACTGTTCAGGATAACATTTTAAGGAGGATATTAAGAATCTATGTAGGGGCTTCCCTCGTGGCACAGTGGTTAAGGATCTGCCTGCCAATGCAGGGGACACAGGTTTGAGCCCTGGTCTGGGAAGATCCCACATGCTGCGGAGCGACTAAACCCATGTGCCACAACTACTGAGCCTGCGCTCTAGAGCCCACGAGCCACAATTACTGAGCCTGTGCACCTAGAACCTGTGCTCCGCAACAAGAGAAGCCATTGCAATGAGAAGCCTGCGCACTGCAACAAAGAGCAGACCCCGCTCGCCACAACTAGAGAAAGCCTGTGTGCAGCAACAAAGACCCAACGCAACCAAAAAAAAAAAAGAATCTATGTAACCTAGGGGCAGGACAGGAATAAAGATGCAGACATAGAAAATGGACTTGAGGACACGGGGAGGGGGGAAGGGTAAGCTGGGACGAAGTGAGAGAGTGGCATGGACATATATATACTACCAAATGTAAAATAGCTAGCTAGTGGGAAGCAGCCACATAACACAGGGAGATCAGCTTGGTGCTTTGTGACCACCTAGAGGGGTGGGATAGGGAGGGTGGGAGGGAGACGCAAGACGGAGGGGATATGGGGATGATATATGTATAGGTATAGCTGATTCACTTTGTTATACAGCAGAAACTAACACACCATTGTAAAGCAATTGTACTCCAATAAAGATGTTAAAAAAAAGAATCTGTGTAACAAAAGAGCCTTGTTCTCAAGGAACCTGCTATGTCAGTGGGGGTGGGGAGGATAACATGCACACTCAAAGAGCATACACACATGCACGCACTGTTACACACCAGGAGAAAGAAAGATGGGCACATGCCAAGCAGAGACCGATGACGTCGACTGGATCCATGGGCTATCCATGGTGGGGGAAATGGATCTGGTCTGGGTTTTGAGAAATGGGGAGTGGGGTAGGCATGGGGGAGGGTGGGAACATTTGGTGGGGAAGGAAATGGCATGAACAGAGATGGGAAGTGACAGGGGCAGTGAGCAGGTGTGTCTGGGCAGGTGGCAGGTGTTTGGGGAACCCTCTTTCCTTGTTGAGGGTGATGCCCAAAGGGAGAATCATGTCCTGCACAGTATATCCCTGGGGGTCTTCTTGCAGAGCCCGGTGGCCAGCCCTGTGGATTCACCCATGACGGGACAGTGAGCCTTGAGCTTGTGGGTGTGTGTTTCATAAAGATCCCTTTCACCCGAGAGGTCTGTGAACTGACAGGGTTTGGATTTTGTACCGTGTGAAACATGGAAAGTCAAGGCCAGGGACGATTTTGGAGTATTTTTATTTATTTATTATTTAAAAAAACATTTTTTAGCTGCTTCTATATCAAAAGTGAAAAAGCATAGAATTCAACACACTTTCAGGAACGTTGGACCCCACATTTGGGCATCCTTGAGGGTACTGTGTGTGGCTCTCATTGTCCAGTGCATCATGAAAAAAGAACAAAAACACACAAAGAACGAAGATTTTTCACTGAGGGGCGCAGTGGGATGATTAGGGTTCTATGAGGTTGCATTCGTTCGACGCCTATGTGCACTTCTTCAATAAATTGGTCTTCATGCCTTACCCACCAGCTAGTTGGCTTTCAGAAGGATTATCTAACGGGGGTAATTGAGCCCGAGCTTCTTGCTGTCTCTCTCATTCTCTCTCTCTCTGTCTCTCTCTCTCTCTCTCTCTCTCTCACGTGTCCACAGCTCACACACAGCAGCCGGAAATGACACACTGAAGTGAGTCACCAATGCGGCTGTGAGTCACCATGTAATTGGGGAAAGTTCTGTCCTGCTAGGTCGTGTAGCCCCTTGCACTCCTGCTCCTAAGTATATTGGAAAATTTTGAAACAACAGCTCTGTCTGCCTTCACCTACCACATCCTTTTGGTCCCTAAAGTGGGCTGAAGTTGGACAGTCCTGGCAGGGGTCCTGCTCCACGGAGTGGAAAGGCCAGGAGAGGAGCGATGGGATTCGGGCAGCCACCAGGTGGCAGTGTGGGCCCTATCACTCCCGCTGCCAGGAGGGGAATGACAGGCAAGTGGCCACTCCTGAGGTGCCATGACACAGACCACAAAGGAACACTATGAACAAGTTTAAATAATATGTTTTCTCCATAGTCCTTTCTCTCTCACAAGCACACAAGGACAAGGATGTGATAAATGCTCAAGGACACCCCTGGCATCCCACCCTCCCCACCAGGATATTGGCGCCAAGAACGAGGCATAAATCTCATCTCTCTCCCTCTATTTCTGCAACATAAAGTTTGTGGGAAGCAGAAAGCTGCTTCTCTGAGTAAACAAGTCACCTACACTCCAAAATAATATATGCACACTGTTTCTGGGGAGGGAGCAGCCAGGCCTGGGTGGGTCTCGTGCCTCTGAGCTGGGGGAGGACAGACCTTGACATGAAAGAGTGTTTCTCCCATTGGCCTTCTTTGGCCTGCAGCCAGCTTTCTCAGCAGTAGCAGACAGTGCAAGAGTGACGGCAACGTGACCGGAACACAAATTATTTCTAGCAAACACACAAAAGCTCCTTCCTGTAAGCCTTGTGGTGCCATCCTGCCAGGGCCTCAGTGGGATCCAGGTCCGAAGACCCGAACAGGCAGAGCGATGGGCTGAAGCAGCCGCGTAAATGATCCTGGGAGTTCTGCAGTCTTGTTGGGAGACCTTCGGGGCATTGTGCTTCCGAAGTCTCTCCCAGGGTCTCCGCTGGGGAGTTTAACTCAAAGGTCCTCTTTCCCCCTCCTAGGAGAGCCGGAGGTCTAAGAGACAGATTCGAAAGATTTACCATTAAAAAAAAAAAAAAAAGATAAATATCTTCTCTTTCTCCAGAAAAATGAATTAAAATAAAAATTCTTTGCTCTGGAGTTTCTTCTTCTTGGACATCTCCAGTTCCGTCCCAGATGAGGGCTGCATTTCCCATGGTCAGGGTTCCATCACTTGGCCCATGAAAAGGACAGTTCCTGAGGACGGAAGAATCATGGGAGATGAGAAGGGGGGGGAAGGGGAACAGCACAGCTCACCCAGCTGGGTGTTTACGGATGAACTGAGATACAGGGAGATGAGTGAGTGCCTGGAGGCACAGCTGCTCTAGTGACTAAGCTGGGACTGGGGGACAGACTGAGCACCCCGTCTGGAGAGAGCACTGCCTCCGAGGAGGGTAAGGGGAACAGAGCTATGATTCCTTGCCTGGAGTCCTCTTGGGGGGAGTGGGGGTGTCTACACCTGCCCGGACTAGTGCCCGAGTCCAGGAGAGCGGGGGGGGTGTCTCCCGGGCCCCCGGCTCACCTGTGGGGTTATGCCGCACCACGAAGAGGAAGGGTCTGTCCATGATGATCTCCTCGGGGGCCATTCGGGCTGAGACTGTAAGGGCTGGAAAAGAAGGGACCACGTCTTAGAGCGGAGGGACGTGGGCACGGAAGCCTGGATTGTTCACAGGTGATCCAGTGACAGTGGCACTGGGATGGGGGCGTTTTAGGAGGCTCAGTTATTTCCTGGATGTGAACCCTAAAAGTGTTGGGATGTCCTCTGAGGCCTGGTTTCCTCCAGGAATTGGGTAGAGATCTCTCAGGTAGTCACTCGCAGGCACGTTTATCTAAACCCTTTTAGGGCGTATTGGAAGCAAGTGCCTCGTGACTGACCACTGAGAGCAAAGCCAGGACCTCACAGTCAGAGGACCTCAGAGCCAGTGGGGAGGGGGCGGGGTGCCGGGGAAAGCAGGCCTGTATTCTAGTGGGATCGGGGTGATGCGCTCCACACAGGAAGCGAAGCTCTACCAGGAGAGACCTGGTTGACGTGGGCAGTGGGGTCTTCCCGGTTCACCCAGGGTCTGGGTGCCAGACCGCGGCCCCTCCTGGAAGCCTGGGGCTGAGACTTGCCAGACCTCACCTGAGCCTGACTCACCTGTGGAGGAGGACGCCACCGTGCCGCTCTCATTCACCTCAATCTTCACTTTCTGTAGCGCCTGCGACACGTACAGAAGCTCTTGATCTGAAACAGAGGTGGATACCAAAACACATCAGCTTTGGTTCTCAGTGAGAAGCTCCTTAGTCCTCTTAAGGACCCACTGTCCACCAGGGGAAGAAAGTGAAAGGAAAACCTCTTACCTGAAAGTCTTGAGAAGTCTGCCTGGTTTGGCCTAAACATGTCGGTCATTCCCAAGTTCTCCAGGGGCCTCCTGAGGTCAACTTCACTCTCCAGGGAGAACCTGCAGACAGGAGCAGGACACAGCTCAAGCTCAGGCCACCTCTAACCCCACCAAGTATCTCCGTCCCCACAGACCAACAGGATGGGGACTGATGTGAAAGTAGAAGTGGGGGCTTCCCTGGTGGTGCAGTGGTTAAGCATCCTCCTGCCAATGCAGGGGACATGGGTTCGAGCCCTGATCCGGGAAGATCCCACATACCACAGAGCAACTAAGCCCATGTGCCACGACTACTGAGCCTGAGCTCTAGAGCCCGCGAGCCACAACTACTGAGCCCACGCGCCTAGAGCCCGTGCTCCGCAGCTTCTCTGAGAAGCCTGTGCACCGCAACGAAGAGTAGCCCCCACTGGCCGCAACTAGAGAAAGCCCGCACGCAGCAACGAAGACCCAACACAGCCAAAATAAATAAATAAATAAATAAATTGATTTAAAAAAAAAAAAAGAAAGTAGAAGTGGGAAGCTTGTTTTTTCAAATCCGTTTGCAAGGTCTCTTCCTTGCTGGGAGATTCTAGTACTAATGAACATTTTCCTGCAATCTCCCCACCCCCTTGAACCTATGACTAATTACTTTCCTCAAATAAGGCAGTAGTTTGAGCACAATTATACTCAGCCTGACTGGGGAGGGAGGGGGCAGGGCAAATTCTTCTGCAAGGATATTTGAACAAAAACCTTGTCTGTAGATTGTGTTCTGAGAGCTGAGCCTGAGGAGGACTCCAGCAGCGAGGCTTTGGGGCTCTCGCTCTGCTTCCCATCAGGGCACAGCTAATTACCTCTATTTTTTTTTTTTTTTTTTTGAGAGAGAGAGAGAGTGTGTGCTAACCAACTAAATGATCCTCTTTCCCTAAGCCTGGCATTATGGCATCTGGGAATTTGGGGTAAGCATGGTGGGAAGCTTCCCCACAATTCTGGAATTATCCAGCCTCAGCCTCCGGCACCCTCTTTGCTTCTGCAGAAGGATTTTTAAAACTCTGCTTCGTTGGAAGCCAGCTAGAAGCTGTAGTTCTGGCTGTTTCATCTGCAGAAGTGATTCCTTTTGTCTCCATTGTTTAGATGCTAACTTGAAGAGATGGGGGTGGGAGTGAGGGGCATTCCTAAAAGAGTGTAGATCAACGTATTCCCCTCCACCCCAACCCTGCATCATCTATCTCTCTGGCTCTTCCTTTGGCTAGCTTTTGCTGGGTATTCAGAGGGTGGTAAATGTGGGACATGGTCTAGAAAACTCCCCCGCTGCCCTCCAGCAGAAGAGGGATGATGAGAGGAATCTTAATCAAACCCAGGCCGGAGTGTTTCCCATCAGCCACCCACACATGTCCCTGTCCCTACCCTGCAGATGTCACGTTTGGGAAACTCCACATGGAGGTGGCACTTTCAGGGAACCAGGGTAGAGGGGAGGGGGTAGGCAGAGGGGACTAGAGCATTGGCAAGTGTGGCAAGAGCAAAGGGTGGCTTACTTGGGCAGGACCAGGAGGCGGGTCAGTCTGGTCATGTTCCCTCTCCACTGGCTGATGAGCTGGGCGTCCAGAATGCTGGTGAGGGCAGAGAGAGGCACCTCTTTTTCGTAGGGGGCAGCAATGAACATGCTGAGTGTGTTCCCATGGTAGGGCAATTCCAGGACGTCGTAGTAATGGCCGTCGGGGGTGGAGAACTCAGCTGTGAAGACACCAAGATGGCGCATTGGCAATGGCTCCAGCTCTTGTTGGTTCTAACCCAGCACTGGCTTTTCAACTGGTCCTCCTGTCCCCTCCACTCTTTGGAAGCCAGCTCTCCATACTAGCTTTTGAGGCTCCCCCACCCCACCACTCCCCTGTTCAATGCCTTTATTCCCATTTCCCTTCTCTTCTGCTAAATCACAGTGTCTTCTGGGTTCTCTGTCTCCTGTTGGCCTTCTTCACCTTCACAGCCTTCTCCCCAGTACCCAGCTACTAATTCATTCCAATCCCCATCTCCTTAATCTCAACTTTCACATCACTCTTCCCCAGAAGGATCTGTGAACCCCAGGTTATCACACTAGAACCACATGAAGATGAGAGATGGGGTCAAAGTGGTCAAATATGGGCCTGAGGGAATTTCTGGATTTCAGCTTCATCTTGCACAAGGTAAAAGCTACTTTCTGCTGCTCTGATAATCCCAGTGTCTCCTACCTGGGGAGTCTTTGTCACAGCTGGGGTGTATTCTAGGGTTTCTCCTCCCTTAGAGGGGATGCCCCCCAGGGATGAGGTGCAGTCACTGTGGGACTTGGGGAAGGGAGGGTCTTGCACTTACTGTAGTTGAACTTGTTGGTCTGAGCCATCATGGGCACAGAGACAGTGCTGCCATCGGACTTGTGGAAGAGGCGGTGGTGGGTGCTCGACTCTAGAAAAGGCATCTTCCACTGGCCGTTGAAGTAGAGGGCGTTTACCAGTACCAGGCGTGTCAGCTGGTCCACAGCCCCTTCGCCAAGTAGGTCGCTGATCATGCCTGTGGGAAATCGAGGCGATCAGGAGGCTAGATATTTTTAAATCCTTTTAGATGGTCCTCTTTAGCGCCCAGTCCTCCAATGGATATGTGTCAGAAGGGATTCCGTCAGAAGACAGGCTGGGTAAGGTTTAGTGAACCTATCTAGTTGCTTTCAACCCCTTTCATCTTCCTAAGAGTCTCAGAAAGGCTTCCAGCTCACCACACTTTCGTGGTCTTGGGATCCTGTCCAGGATCAGACCTGGAAATATGTCTCCCCTTACTTTGCTCCCTAAGCTGCAGTCTTGACGGGTTGTGCGTGACCCTTGTCATGGTTATTACTGTTCTTATAACACCTCGCAATACTTTTTAGGGATGACTTTAGAGTTGGTTCACGGGGAAAGCCTAATTATGGAAAAACATGATGCTTTGATTCTTAAAGCACTTGACCTGTCTACAGAGCAGAAGATGCGGGAAGGGAGAGGTCAGGACACTTGGGATTTGAATCCCTTTTCTCTGCAGGCCCTTGGGAACTGGCCTCCTTTCCCTGCCTGCTCACCTTTTGTGTGTCTTTTCACCCAGTCGTTGACGATGAACCTGGCTCTCTCTGTCTCTGAGAAGTCCACCTGCTTGACTGTGGTGCGGAACAGCCTGAAGAAGTGGGGCATGAAACCCTGGACCAGCTTCAGATCCCGCTGCACAAAGATGGCATCAGCCGTGCTGATCTCATCCTTATTCCATGGTCCCATGAGCTCCTTGTACAGTTGATGGAGGGCAGGGGCCATGCCCTTCTCTGGGCCAAAGCGGGGAGGAAAGGACACATTAAGGTCATCTCAAACCCAGGGCTCCCAGTGGGGCTAACTTCCCCTAACCCTGCCCACATGCACAGGACTCTTCTGCTCCCCCGGAGGTCTCTGGATGGAGATTTCATTCCAAACCTTAATCTTTCCTGCATCTCCCTCTTTTCTTCAAAAATCTTAGGTCCTAACCCTTTTCTTTGGCTTGGAATATTTTTCTCTGTTTTTAAGTTATAAACCCTAATTTTTTCTTTTAATAATAACAGTAGCTGTCAGGCACTTCACGTGCATCGTTCTAGCTGGCCCTTACAACAGCCCCATGTGGTGGATACTTTTATTGTCCCCATTTTGGAGATGAGGACACTGAGGTTCGGAGGGGTTAAGGTCACACAGTATATGAGTGGTGAGGCAGGGCTGTTTTATACCAGATCCACTGGCCCGTACACCTTGTGACTGTCCAATAACCAAGTGACACAGGGTGTGGTGAGAAGAAGATGCAGTGGTCCATCCCTGTGGCATGGGAGGACAGGAGTTGGCTCAGCTAAGCTGGGGTCAGCCCTTCCTCTGCCTCTGGTCGGTTACACCCCTGTCCTGGGAAGACCACGTGAATGCCCGCCTCCCACTCTGCCCCATCTCTCACCATCCACCTTGAATTGCATCGCCTCTTGGATCTGCCGCTGTGTTTCTCCTCCTGTGGTCAGCTGTAACATGGCCATGACTGAGGCTACCCCACAGGGTGAGAAAACCATGTTGAGGTCCTTGGAGGCCTGCACCACCTGCTGAAACACTTTCACTCCAAAGTCTGCGGCGAGGTGGGCCGCCGGAGACTGGTGATGGTAGGAGGCAGACCCTTCACCGAAGATGAGGGCCACGCCCAGTGCGAGGCAGGCAAAGACAGGAGACCTCGGCATCCTAGAGCCAGTGGAGAAGGATCTGACGAGGGAGTAGTTCCGGAAGGATGGTGAGTAGGGAGGGGTGGTGGGACCCCAGCCACGGCCGGGCTCCCCACGCTTGCCGCTAGCAGAAGATACGTGAATGGGGGGGCAAGACAGAAACTGCGGCGGGTTCAGATCCTGAGTCTTTTCCCCTCTGTCTCAGCCCCAGGGAGTCTTTTTTTTTTTTTTTCCCAGGGAGTCTTAAGTGCGCTTTCACCTGTGGGAATCTTGGAACCCGCTGGCTCCACCCTCCAAGAGATCTCCTTTCCCTTCCAGGAGGCTGAAAGATGAAATGATCATAACATCTGTGATTTACACGATGCTTTTTAATTCTCTTGTGATGCTTTCACAATCATGGCTTCATTCAAGCTGGCAGGCATGAAAAACCCCTTTCCTGCGCTGGGAAGGGGGAATGTCTCAATGGAGAGGGTCCAAGAGAAGTGAGGCCCTTGCTTCTGGGTGGTGGGATTGTTGGGGGGTCCTGCGCATCTTCCCCGCTCTCCTGTGATCACTGATATGACGGGATCATCTCAGGGCTGCAGGTCTCCGGGGAAAGAAAGAGGAACACTGGGGATCGTCTGCAGAGGGGTGCTCCCTGCCTTAGCCCGAGGTCCGGAGATGGAGAGAGTTTGCTTTTCTCTTACCTGAAATTCTCAAGGTGCCTTGTGACGGTCAGTTTGTCCTGCTGCTGCTGGGGCTTCGGGTGTTGACCGTGGTGGCTACTCCTCTGCTGGGGAGGGGGTGTGGCTCTTTGGACAGTGCTCTTGGTCTTTCAGCCAGATGCAGCTGTGCTCCTCTGGAGGCTGCGGCTTCCCTTTATACCAGATGTGGGCCGGAAGTAGATTAACTCATGGCCCGGCCCCGCCCACTTTCTGGCTCTGGAAGTCTGTCTGAACAGCAGCCGGGCCCCCTCAGCACCTCCCTCTGTGGGACTTGCTGAGGCATCTGTGTGTGTGTGCGTGCTGCCCTGTGTGTGTACATGTGAGAGAGAGGGCTTGGAACAATTGAGCAAATCCTGTTTGCCTTGACCCCAGGGCCTCCCTTGATTCTGCTGCCCTCTGCCTCGGGATGTTATGCCAGCTTGATCCCTGGCACCCAGTGCTCACTTTCCCCAGTGCTCAGTGTAGGGAAATGATTTACACTTCCTCCTTTTCCTTTGGAGAAACAGATCGCTGCAGAGTTATCAAAGAAACTAAAGATCCTGCAGACTTTTGTCCACCAGCTCCATGCACTGGCCAAACTGGGAAGAACACCCCTCCCTCTTCCTGACTACATCCCAGCAGCCAGAGGGCCCGGAGCGTGCCATGTGATTGTCTGGGTTTTGACTGTCTAGAACATGAGCCTGGTGGAGAACTCCCTCCCCCCTTTCCGTCTTCCCTGCCAAGCGCCTGCCAGCCCGTCCATCGGGTGATGTGTGGCTGACTCCCCCACGTGTCCAGACTCTGGTGGTGTCCCCAGGGCTCTCTTTGTGTCAACAGTCCTGTATGGCTGGGATTTGAGGTGTGCTGGGTGGGGTGGTGGGTAACCGGGGTAAAGGGGTAAAGCCTTGGTGGGAAATTAGGAGCCCAGTGTGTAGGTTTCATTTTTCTGAGCCACCCGCTGTGACTGGGGAGGATTACGTCTTATCCTTTTCCTCCAGATGCAAACATTTGGAGGGCTGGAGTGGCGGCGGTAGGGATGGAACTAAGGGCGTCAATTCATGGCGGGTTTACGGGGTGTGCTTCTAGGACACTGGGATTAGGGGTGGCAAAGTGGCCAAAGAATTCTATAGACGGTGGACGTTGGCTAGAGGCCAGTTTGTAGGACTGGGCTGGTGCATTTAGGGGTCTGGTGGCACCCTTGGCTGTGTAGCCTGATGTTGTGGACAGGGTAGTTCCAGAGGGGTCCTGGGGGGGATGGAGCCCTTGACTTGGGTGGCGGAGTCCACACACTGTCATGTTTTGTGTAGGTGTTGGGGTTCAACTGGGAGTATCCATGGAGACAGCCGGTAGCAGAATCACAGGAAGTTTAAGTGGGTGGATGTGTCGGGATGTTTGTTTTGGATTTTTTAAGTAAACAGATACCAAGGGCAACTGCAGCTGGAGGACTTTCCCATTTTCACTCTGCCTCCACCTTTGTTTTCCCTGTTGCCCCTGGGAACCAGGTGGGGATGTGGGGTGGCACGAAGAGAAGGGGAAGCCTCCAAGCCATCTCCTAACCCCAGAAAGGCCCCAATGCCTTGCCCTTCACCCTTGGGGGCCACAGGGGGACAGGGACCTGGGAGTCTGTGTTGGGAGTGCCAAGCCCCAAGTTGGAAGAGCAGTGGGTCAAGAGGCGGCTGGGGGCTTCCCTGGTGGCGCAGTGGTTGAGAGTCCGCCTGCCGATGCAGGGGACGTGGGTTCGTGCCCTGGTCCGGGAAGATCCCACATGCCGCGTGGAGCGGCTGGGCCTGTGAGCCATGGCCGCTGAGCCTGTGCTCCGCAACGGGAGAGGCCACGACAGTGAGAGGCCCGCGTACCGCAAAAAAAAAAAAAAAAAAAAAAAGAGGCAGCTGGACCTGCCCTCCAGGTGCCCCGCTGTCTGGCCTCTCCAGCCACTTCAGCTGAGCCTCATGCCTTCCTCCATGGGCTATTCCAGAAGCTGTTGTCTCTCTCCTCGCCCAGCCTCAGCCATAAAAGCCCTTTTGTTTTCTGGGACCGCCTGGGTCCTGCCAGGGCAGTGACCATTTCTGTCCCCACCCCTGGACCTGAATGATCCTGTTGCCGTTCCAGAAAAGCCCCTCTGTCCCTGGGCACAGGAGCACCTGGGAGCAGCTCTATGTCCTGTTGGAGAGAGAAGGGGTACGCTTTACCTTGGAAACAGAAAGGGCTGACTTACTGAGGGGTCTTTTCCCAAACTGGAGGAGACTTGTAGGTGTCTAGTGGGTGTGGATTAGAAACTGAGGCAAAGCCTAGTGTAACTGTGCCATGCTGGGTTTTCTGACCCTCCCTTTGACTTTCTGATCACTTGGGGCCGCCAGAGGATCTAAACCCAGACTTGATCGTGGTCCCTGCCTCTCCTCTCCGTGAAACGACCTTGCCTCCCCCGGTCTGCCCTCAGGGGATCTTCTCCACACCAGGGTGCAGTCCAATCGCCCGCTGCCCCAAAGCAGACCTCCCTGCAACGTCCTTCTCAGAATCCAGCCTGACTCAAGGAGCTGTCACTTTCCCTGAACACCAAACAGCCTTGACCCCGTCACCTCTTTCAAGCATTGGCTCTTTCTTAAGGGGTCAAAAGTCCCTACTGTTGAGATAACTGGATCTCTGACTCCTGGCGGGTCAGAGGTAAGAGGATGAGTTACAGGGCTGTGGATTTCTGGGGAAAGTTCCGGTTCTAGCCAACTGGGAAAGATGTTTTCATCTGCTCTGAACAGGTGTTTCGTGACGAGATCAGACTCACACTTTCCGTGACTGTCCCCCTACCCTGTCCCCATCCCACCCCCCAGTAGCCCTGCTTCCACTGGGGCCTCCGCTATGCTGGTCTTCCCTCCAACGCTTTACCTCCTGCCCCGCAGTTGCCCTCTAGCTCTCTGCTCTTCCGCTCTGCTTCCCCTTTGCTCTCCAAGCCCCAGGTACCCACCCTCTTTTTCTCTTTCCTTTTCTCCCTCTGAGACTCCCTCTTCTTATCGCTTCTACTCATCCCTCCATCCACTGGGAATCTCCATCCCCTCCCGCCCGTCTCCTCTAGTCTCAGCCATGTGAGCTCTCTCCCCGTTTTCCCCCTCTCTCTTTTCTGCTCTCCGTGACTCAATCCCTCTTTCCCTCTCCTCTCCTTGTGCAGAATCCCTTTTACAGTCAAATGCTCTGCTCCAGGCCTTCCTGTGGGAAGAAGAGGCTGCCTCCTATCAGTTACACAGGCTCCCTGGAATGTCAAGAGCCGGCCTCCTGACTCTTGGTAATTTCACTGGGAGAGCCGGGGGTGGCAGAAGGCCGGGGTCCTACTAACTCACAGTGCTATTTCTGGCCTGGTGGTTTTCCAAAGAATACAACACCCAAAATAGCTGGTGTTTGGGCTGGGCTCTCGGCCCCATCTTGTAGGAGTGAGCCGAGGCCTGGGCTGTGTGTCAGCTTTTTCTCATTGAAGATCACGGCCCTGGGACAGCCCGACAGACATGGGCCACCTCGGCCTGTCCAAGGTCCCTCCTCACACTGCCGCCAAGCCTGACTCGCCCCTCATCTGCCACCATAAGCCCCTCTCCTTTACGCTTTCTCCAGCCGCCACCTCCAGCCATCTCGCCTTAAATTCCCGTGACAGTAAAACCTGCATCCCCCAACGTGGGATGCTTTTTTCTCCAATCATGTCCTAGGGTTTCAGAGCGGAGGGCTCTAAGAACCATCTGGCCCGGTCCTTTGAATTTTCAGGTAAGAGACCTGAGGCCCAGAGAGGCCGTGGGATGTGTTTGAGAACACACAGCGACATACCATAAATGGGAGAACAGTGCCCATTGAGCCGGCCTGGTCAGGGCTCTGACACTTAGCTACTTATGTGTCTTTGGGCAAAACCGAACTTTGTGGGTCTCAGTTTTTGTATGTGAGGTAGGTATGTAGATGGACACTCATTCCCACCCTTCAGGGTTTTTGTGAGGATTAAATGAAATATTGTAAGCGTCTGACATATTCCAGGCTCTCACTAAGTGGCAGCCACTCTCGGTTGGGGCAGAACCAGGACAGGAACCCAGGCAGCTTGAGCTGTTAACTTTGACATAAGGCAAGCGCCTTGTTATATATTTTGATGTCTCTCGGTGATTAGCAGAGTGGATGAAATGCCTTGGGAAGCGGACTGGCTGGTCACCCACGAGAATGGCTGCCAGCCCCTCTGTCCATTTCAGGCCAGGTCCTCTTGGTTTCACCCTGAGCCTGACATGCTCCCACTGGCCGACTTCACAGACTTTAGATCCTGGGAAGATTTTCCTCTCTGAGCTGTGGGGTCACATGTGGACGCCACTGACATTTGGCACGTGTCTTGAACCCTCCAGCATACCAGGAAGGACGGAGGCTTGTTTTCTCAGCAGGTGAAAGTGGAGTAGACTTTGACCTACTCTTCTGGTCTTGGCCCTTTTGTCCCCTTCTCTGCCACCCACATCCCCTACGTCCTGTTGATTCCCCTATAACACCCCCTAACAGTTGAACCACTTTTACAAACATCCCCTTCTCTTACAGTCACTTCTGTGCTTATCCTTCACTTTACTGTGTCCGTCGCCATGTCTTGTGTGTCCTTATTTCTTGGAGGGGCGTTGGGGGGCAGTATTCCCTTGGGGGTGGCCTCTCATAATGTCAGTGTTCAGTGAGCACCAGAGACCCCCCACAGACCCCAGGCAAGAAAGAGCCTGTTCTCTTGGAAGAAAGAGGCAGAGGGAGAGAAGGGGGCCCAGTGTGGCCACAGGGAGATGTATGGGGCAGATGGCATGTGTGATTCCTGGGGTTGGTGTGACCGCAGAGCCTGCCGGTGGCAGCCAGAATGAGGTAGTGCAGGCCTGGGAGCCTCCCACTCCCACTGGGTCTACCCCAGTCAGATCCTAACCCTGCTTCCACTTCTCTCTCCACGTACATAGATTGTCTAACTCTGATTCACTTCTTTCCTGTTTACCAGAACTTGTTCCTCATTCCCAGCGTTCCTGAATCTCCTTTAATCACTTTCTCTGGATACATCTTTCATTTTACCCTGGCTGTTGTGTGAATCTTCCCCCAAATGGCCAAATTGTTATTGACAATCAATGCCCGATGG